CCCCAGCAGAAACAGGTCTCCTCCCAAGTCACCCCATGACATCATCTTGCTTTATTTTCATAACATTTAGCATTATCTTCAGGGTTTGTTTTTTAATGAAAGTTATTGTTGCTCATCTCCCCTCCTCTTTCACTTGCACACATCCCAGAATGTAAGCCCCAAGAGGAGACAGTCTGTCTTCTCTTTCCTCTCTTTCTCCCAGCACCCAGTGCCTGGGAATATAGCTGGCATTAGGCAAATGCACACTGACTGAATGGATGCATTTCCTGCGAGACACCAGTGAAAAAGACCAGGGGATGTCAAAATCCACCACTAGGAGGAAGCATGAGCCCAGGCAATTGAGAGCTTCTTTGCATCTCCCACTAAGAAAACACAGAGAAAGAAGTCACAGTGCACTTAGGTCTTTCCATTCTTCACGTCTGTCTAAAGAATCTGCATGCAGTTAAGACCAACCATCAGACCACTGCAAAGGAGGATAAGACTTTAAGCTGTTCCTTCTTAGCCTTAGTTGTTCTCTATTTATGACAGGCACATAAATGGTCTTCCCAAATCACTGAAAAACTACCTACAAGGAAAAATTCCAAATGTTTCAGAAATAAGTGCTTTGAAGAGTTGTAAAGATGAGGATAGAAACCAATGCTATGAGAGGAAGTCTAGGATCTTCTGATTTATATTTATTGATTAACCACTATGTGCCATGATCAACCATGTTGCTAAGCATGGGGTATAAGTCAAACAGAGAGGTTGGGACCAGTAGTTGGTGTAATGGCTATGTCGCTGGACTCCCACATAGGCAACTGCGGTTCGAGTCTCAGACCTAGGGGCTTAAACTCACTCCGGGCACATGTGCGTGTGTGCCCAAGATCACAAGAGGAGAATGGAAGAGAAGGGATTGCGGCATGACCATCCCCCCTGGGGGGTGATTTCTCACTTTCTGTCTCTTTGTCTCTCTCTTTCTGGCGAGCACACACACCCTATAGCAAAAACCTCTCAAAAAAAAAAAAGGAGAGGCTTTAATAGTAATAATAATAATAACAATAAATTGCGATGGTAAATTTCTTTTTCTTTTCTTTTCTTTTCTTTTTTCTTTTTTTTTTTTTTTTTTTTTTTTTTGGGAGGGGGGGGGAGAATTTTGTTTTAGCCCACATTTTTTTTTTTGAGAGAGAGAGGGAGAATTTTGCTATAGGCCACATGCACTAGCCAGACAGAGAGAGACATAAAGCGAGAAATCACTCTCCATGGGGGTAGCCACACTGCACTCCCTTCTCCATTCTCCTCTCGGGATCTTGGGCATGCACCCATATGAGCCTGGAGTGAGTTTTTAGCCATTGGGTCTGGGACTCAAACTGCGGTCAACTATGTGGAAGTCTAGTAATGTAACCATTACGCCATCTGCTGGTCCCAAAATCCTTTATTTTATTTTATTTTTTTATAGATTTCCATGTGTTTGGGAAGACAAAACAAATATTCAAAACAAGAAGAAGTGAAGTGCTAAAATTTGGCAGTTTGCCCAGATAAAACCTAAAATAGTGCTGGCATGGAACAGGGAAAATAGCTAACAGGTTGGAGAAAAAAATACTGAGTTCAAATTCTGCCAGCAGTCTTAGTCACTTAACCTCTAAGTCCCTGGTTTTGGTGTCAGCACCTGATCCTATCAGGCTTTATTTTTACAGTATTTCACACTATGCACTCCACACATGTTTGCTGGGCAAATGGATACATATGTGAAAGGAATTATAATAACACTGAATTGTGTGGTTTGGAGGATTAAAGGAAATAGTGAATTTAGCAGGCCTCACAATCCATAAAATGCTATGGTATATCATGTATGATTAGTATTAAAAGCTAATTATGGGACCAGCAAATGGCATAATGGTATGTCGCTGGACTCCCATAGTCTACTGAGGTTCGAGTTCCAAACCAGGTAGCTTAAAACTCATGCTGGGCATATGGACATGCATGCCCAAAATTCTAAGAGGAGAATGGAGGAAAAGGGATTGCAGCATGGCCATCCCCCGGGGGGTGATTTCTGTCTCTCTGTCTCTCCAGTGTGCACATGTGCCTTATAGCAAAAATCTCTCTCTCTAAAATAAAATAAAATAAAAGCTAATTGTGTGGCCACAAATATGAGGGTAAGCTAGGAACAGAAGGATAGTTTTCCACTGGAGACCCCCAGGAAAGCTTCCCAGAGAAGGGAAGTGCTGTGCCACTACCACTACCAACCAATTTGCATCCAATCGATGCCCACTGATAGCGGGGGTGGGATATAGTATTTTACCCTTCCTGAGGGAAGACATATATTCTTATCTGGGAGCAAGTCCATGCTCCAAAGACCAAAAGCTTTGTCCTCTCAGCTAGGTTCTCTCTGCAAGGCCTAGAGTTGTTTTCCAGCAAATTGGATCTAATCATGTTTCTGCTGGGACCCCTTGTACCCCCACCTCAGGCATATTAGAAAGACTCTCAATCCATTCTGAATCTTATTATTGCCACTATAATTATTATAGTTATGACTATGGCAATCATTATGAGGAAAATCATTCAAATGTAGTAAAGCAAAGAAGGAGGGAACTCTCTGACTCTGAGCAAAGTTAAAAGGCCAGCAAAGAGAAAGAAAAGAACACACACATCTCTTCTGCTAGGCTTCCTCTGCGTGTGTGCATGGTGTGTGTCGGGGGTGGGGGAGAATGCCGGGCATGTGCAATGGGGACAAAGGGTAATGATGCTATGATCCTCTGCCAAGACCTGTCCATTTTCCTTCCTAACACCTCTTGTGTTCTCCTGCCTCTTCACTGGCTGTGACTGCCCTCGCCCGGGCCCTGGTCACATCTTGCCTGGATTATTGTGACACCCCATAACCCACTTCCCAGGCCTTGAGCTCACCCAGTCCCTCTAGTGCAGCCAGAAGAGATTGTCACCAAATAGATGGTAGCATGTCATTTGCCTGTTCCAAAGCGACAGGTGCTCCTTATTGCTTAGGGAAAACTTGCTGAAGTCCTGGTAACTCAAAAGCTTTCAAATACTGACCATCATCTCATCGTATGCAGCCCCTGGACAGAAAGACAGACACAAGGACACCAGGCCTGTACACACACCACTCTTCCACATAGTTTATGTGCTGTGCCCTCTTCTGTTCTGTAATCAGGTTATTCTCCTACCCTGTTGTTCAGAATCCCTTCAAAGTCCTGGCTCAAATCTCATCCTCCAAGTATTTCCCAATGTTGGAATTATTTTCTCCTCCACCTCTCCTAAGTATTTTGTTGCATCCAGGATAGCCAGTGTCAGCTCTGGGCTATGAAGTATACACTACCAGTAGTACCTTGTGTCTGCAGCCTCTGGGGGTCAGCTCTGTGTGTAGGCCATCTCCCCCTTCAGTGTTTAGTACCAGCTGGAGTTGAGTGAATGTCCATTGAGTTGAAAGTGTATTTCATCACCTTCCTTTGATGTGTTCTTGCAATGGCCCTGCAAGGTGAACATATCACTGTAGTGGCCATGGTGTCGCACATGGACAAAAAGAGGCCAACAACTTACCCTGAGCCAGATACAAAGGTGATGAAATTGTGCATACAGCCTAGCTGGATACAAAAGAAGCAAGGGCGGGCCCACCCAGGGTGGCACACTTCGTGCTGGGGAAATGCCTGGGTGATGCCATGAGTCATCATGTTGTAACATGGTGCTAAAAAGTCACACCTTGGACCTGGATCCTGGTTTTATCACACCCATCAGCACAATCTTGGAGAAGTTTCTTTACCTCTCTGAATCTCAGCTTTCTTTTTTCTCTTTCTTTTTGTTTGTTTGTTTGTTTTTCTCAGAGAGATTTTTGCCCTAGGGCATATGTGCTTGCCAGAGAGACAAAGCGAGAGATAGAAAGCAAGAAATCACCCCCTGTGGGGATGGCCATGCTGCAATCCCTTCTCCCTTTTCCTCTAGGGATCTTGGCCATGCATGCACATCCACCCAGCATGAGTTTTAAGCCACTGGGTTCAGGGCTTGAACTGAGGTCAACTATATGAGAGTCTGGTGATGTAACCATTATGTCATCTGCTAGTCCCCATCAGCTTTCTTGTTTATAAAATGGCACCTTCACAAGATTGCAGAAGGTAAATTGGACAACATTAAAAACTAGCATATATTGATACATAGGCAGCACTTCCATGTAGTTAAACTCGCAGTAAGAGCATTGGAAAACAACAGACTCGGATTTCTCTTTGTTGCCTGGGAATAATGGTGGAGAGTCCAAAGTACCATCCCAGGAATGAGGAGGAGAAGCAGAGGCTGGAAAAACATCCCCTGGTCGCCTGAGCACATTCCCAAGATGCCAGGTCACTAGTCAGCATTTCCCAAGCAACAAGTCACTGTTAATTCTTCCCCCATGTCCTTTTTTTAGAGTACAAATTGTGTTCATCACCAGCCCCTGTCTCCTGTTCTCAGTCCCAGTCCTGACTCTCACTGATCATCTGATTCTCAGAGAGCCAGTTAGGAGCCATATTGAATGTGGTCCTAGGGACATCTTTGGGTCCAGGGGATGACGGCAGCTTTCTTGAAAAGAATTTGAGCCAGTACAGGGAAGAGATGCCCTCTTATTTCACTGAATTCAGAGAAGTATTAGCTAAAGATGAACCCAGTCATCCAAGTTGAAGGCAGAAGACAGTAAGAAAGAAAACGAGAAGGTTCAATGGCAACTCAGAATGAGACCTGCTTCTGGGCAGCATCTGCAAAAGAAGCAAAGAATTCAGACCCACAGTCAGCCTGTCTGGGTCCAAACTTCTATGCCATCCTCTCCTAACATCATGGATTTATTGTTTTTCAATTCATTTTCTAACCTGTAAAATAAAAGTACTGCTAACCCCTGCATCGTAAAACTGTTGTGAGGATTAGATATGATGATGCATGGCAAGTCCTCACTCAGTTAACACGGTCAGTGGGGGTGGGGCTGGGGGTGGTTGTGATGGTGACTTAGACCTGTCCCAGATTGAGTGAATATTTTTATTCCCATTTCACAGTTGAATAAACTCAGGTTCAAGGAGTTAAGCAAGCATTTTACTCAAGGTCACATAGTCAGTACATGGCAGATTGTCTACTCCAAGTTCCACATTGTTTCTGCCCTGGAGCTCAGTGAATGATCCAGATGCCCTGAGGAGGAGGAGCTGGAATCAAAATGGACATTCTTCTTGGGAACTCAGAGAACAAGGAAGATACAAACCAAGAACAGGCTGAGCCTAACAGCTAGGTAAGATATTAAAACATTCCAAATTACTACTTTAACTTGGACAGAGTGTGTGTACTGAGAAAGTCTCTCCTCTATTTCCCTAAAATCACCAACCTATGCAAGATTTCACCATTCCCCCCGCCACCCCCAAGTTTTCTATATCTGAGGTTATTCATTTCATTGGCAGTCTCACTACAAGAGACAAACATTCTCCCAGAAGGAGTCCTAAGTCTGTAGTTTCAGCACTAAAGGCAGGGAGGTCCCCCTATTGCCCAAGAGTTATTTCAAGAGGGCCTGGGCTGCAGGCCTGCAGGACTGCCCATCTGTCTAGGAGCCCTCCTGCAGGTTCTGGTTCTCCCCTAGGTGATGTCTGGTCAATAGGAGAATTAAGGCAGCATTTATTGACCAGATTACTCAAAGGCCAAAGGTCGAGAACCACAGCTGGAGTTAGGACTATAAAAGGAGGGGTGACCCCAAGAGTAACAAATTATCCTAGGGAGCTATGCTCAGTGGCACTCACCACCCTTTGTTTACTGTTGCAGTGTTGGTGGGAACTCACTTAGAGCTCATTGCTGAGGCCCCAGCACCTATGACATCATACCTACTATTCCACAGGTACTTAATGAATGAAAGAACAGACGTCACTATCAACAAAACTGAGTTTAGTAACACCCTCTGGCAACTGCTCTCTCCCTTGGTCCTCCCAGCAGCTCTGAGAGCTAACATCAGCATGCATCTTTATCCATTGATAACAGGGGGTTCCTCCGGGGACATCTTCATAGTAAGCGGTGAACAGTTCCTGAGCATCAATCCTGTGAGCTTTCCTCAGTGCCATACTTGGAGCTGCCAGCTCTGCTTCTTTCTTTTTCCTGCACAGTCTTCAGGGGAACTGACCATCTGGGTCATGTGTTGGGCCTTGTGTTGTTCTAGCTGTCACTTTCACTGGCTTTTCTGAGCACGAAGCATCGGCTGAGACATTTTCTCAAGAGTGCTTGGTTGTGAGTGGGAAGACCTGGCTTCCAGGAGCACTCAGTTCCCTCCTAGCCATGGGTTCCTGGCAAGCCAGGAAACATTTCTGCCCCTCTGGTGCAGGGTTTGGTGGGATACATGGGATGGGAATGGAAGAGACCCTCTGGGTGGCACCTGGCACATGATAGGATGCCACTGTGTATCCCATCAGGCAGAATGAATGAACCTCATGGCACATCTGTAGTCAGTTGAGAGAAGGGGAGAGAAATGGGAAGAGTGAGGTGGGCAGCTGGGTGGCATCATTGTGAGCAGAAATGTGTCTGAGTGCTGTCCTGATGGTCTATGGGTAACAGAACCTTGCAGGCCTAACACTGAGTCTGGTACATTATAGCTATTCAGTGAATAGCCATTTATGCATGCCCATTGTTGATGCTTAATTACTATTATTGTTATTATTATTTGTTTTCAAAACCATCACAAGAATGTTGGTGTCCAGGATCAAGCTCCCCACATCTCTACCACTTTGAGACTCCACATCTGGGCAGGAATCAAAGGTGGCAGGGGGGTGGCAGGGGGAACCTACCCAACGCTCATAAGAAAACATGTTCTAGCATATTAACCCAGAACCCATGGTGAGGCCTGATTATCCACTTAGTGCAAGGGAGACCCTGAACTTGTTCAGTCACAGATTGGTCCTGAGGAAATAAGATCAAAGGAGGCATGGAGCGTATTCTGATTTTTAGAAATCATGCATCCTCAGGTTGTAACTTCCAAAGTCCAGCCCCATCCATGACATTGGGTTGGAGACAGGATTCTGGGTCTGAGATTAGGAAGCCCTGGCACCTGCTGTTGTGGCCACCACTGGTTCATCTGCCATGTCCTTAGAGGACCTGCTCTGTGGACAACACAACCCAGAGGTCAGTAGGGGAGTGTAGAGGCAGAAGTGGCCAGGACAGGAGCCTGAGAACTGGCTTCTCATTTGGGCACTGTGGCTGATCACTAATGTGACCGGCAATGTCACCCTTTGGCCCACAAGGCTTCAATTTGAAATTTGGAATTTGGCCCGGATAAGTAGCTCTCAAACTTAGTTGTGCATTGCAGTTGCCTGGAGGACTTGTTAAAACACAGACGGCTGGACCCAGCCCCAGAGGTGCACACTCAGCAGGTCAGGGCAGGGGGGAGCAGTGCCTGAGGCTGGTTCTAACGAGTTTCTGGATGGGGCTGGTGCGGCAACCCCAGGGACCATTTGAAAACCACTGGCCTAAATTATGACTAGAACTTCTTCCAGCTCTGAGATTTTTGGATTTGGTTTCTAAGAAACAGCATAATATAGACAGAAGAAATAAAAGGGAGGGCCAACTCGTAGCCTAATGGTTAAGGAATCAGATTCCACATGACCGACCAATGGTTTGAATCGCAGTCCCTGCAGGTTGAAAAACACACAGAAATGTGTGCCAAAATCCCAATGAGGTGAAGAAATGGGAAAGGGATTGTAGCATGACCACACCTCATTGGAGGGCAATTTCTTCCCCTCTCTTATTGTCTCTCTTCTCTTGCTGGTGAGTGCCATATGGCAGAAAGAAGAAAAATAAAGAAAAGAGTAGAGAAGAGAAGAAAGAAAAGGAAGAAAGCAAGAAAAGAAAGAATGAAGAAAGAAAAAGATAAAGAAAGAAAAAGAAAAAAGAGAAAGACAGATGATAAAAAAGGAAGGAAGGGAAGAAGAAAGGAAGGGAGGAATGGAGGGAGGAAGGAACTCTAGAAGAAGGAAGAGGAGAGATTTCTAAATATATCACTGAGCTGTGGCAACAGGGAAGTGCCTAGCCATTGCCCGGGCATGGCAGACATGGGGCTTGGGCCTAACGGGTTGCTCTTTCCTCCCTTCCACTGCCGGGGTGTCTTTTCATCTGGTTTTCATTGGGTTCTTCATCTCAGATCATATTTCATGACACCAGCTGCTTGAGTCTGTAATGAAATACTTTATGTGAAAGCACTTTGAAAATATGAAGTATAAGGCAGGGGGTTTAATTTTAACGTATGTTTATATTTTCTGCTTTACCTCCTTCCAAAAAGCAAATGATGATAGCAATAAAAGAGATGTAGTTGATGGGAGAGGATTGAATGGGATGGAATTGAACTGATTTGAATTAAATAAGAGTTTCATTATCTTTACTCACAGTAACCAAATACAAGATGAATGTGGAGGGAGAGCCTGAGAGGCTCCAAAGGTGAGGGACATGTTCTCTCCAGAACCTGCTAGGTCTCAGTCCTGTACACACAGGTGCGTGAGAGCTGTAGACATAGCACAGTTATTTTCAAAGGACCTAGGAGCCTCATGGAAGCATGTCCTCTCATACCTGGGACCCTGAACTCACCAGCTGCCCAAATGTCTTTGAGCCTATGATCTGGTCTCAGGACGAGAGTCCAGGCTCCCTGACCCTGGCCAGTGCCTCTCCCACTATCTCAATGTCTTTCATACTCTTGGGGTTTCTCACCTACAAGTACAGCAGAGAACCTTAGACTTGGGCTTAACCCCTTTTAATTTAGATTTTCTGTCTCCGCTGGTTCAATGCTCCTTCCAGACATCTACCTTTGCCTCTCCCCTCTAGCCTCATAGAAGAGCAGAGTTCAATAGGGACCAACAGGCTGATTGAACTGTTTGCCCATGAGCTGTATCACCTTCGACCTGGGATGGCCAGGCTCCCTACCCTAGGGCCTTGCTCTGGCCTCCTGAGCTACCACTTTTCCCATGAAGCAAGGAGTCTGGGGGGGCCCCTCCTTCCCTAGACCATGCTCCAGTACACACACCTCAGAAGGGAGTGGCCAAGGGGGAGCCACGGCAGGAGTCCGTGCCTTAGCTGAGATGCCCACATACCTGCGCACAAAGCCCCCCAGGGATCACGTCAGAGCTGGGGGTGGGGGTGGGGCATGGTAGACCTCAGGCCTCAATTGCTCCACTTGGTCTTGCCAGTACAGTGCCAGCTTCACAAACGAATTGTGCTGTTTATATAGGGAA